CTCAAGCCGGTCGAGGTCTCGGCTTTTCTCCGTCTTCCAACTACAACCAGTTCTGACTCCGGCGGGACTCTCGATCCAACAAGGGCTAGGACACACACAAACACCTACTGACATCGACTGTTGGTTTACAGTCGTTACGTGTCATGACTTCCCAAACACTTCGAGTGCAACGCAAGGTGTGGTGAAATAAGGGTTCCGTCTCATCGATGCTATCCATAGTCGTAATTGGGGGGAAGGAGGTCGGCTGAAGGACCTGGGGATCAGCCTCAAGATTGATAACTGCTAATTATACCACTGCAACAAATAAACCAATTCGCAGAAAATGCGATTGGGCAATTTGCAAAGACAAACGACTTGTAGCGTGCCATTCACTCACAAGTCGATTTGGTAAGCGCCGTTAAAAGGGCGGTTTTCAAAATCGGGGCACAAAAACGAGCAACAATAAAATGCGACTTGTAAAGTAATTACAAGGTTTCCCTGCTTTCAGTAAGCGCTAGTCATTTCATGAAAAGATAAAATAACAGAATGAATGAAAGACGGGGAAACAGGAGCTCAAAGACTAGAACTCTGAGACAAACGAAGGATATGCCTACGCCCTAAACATAAAATAGAGGTATTGTCAACATGCCTTGACAGTTGAAGTTTTCTTTGTGTCCACATTCTCAACAACGACCTGGCTGTCCTTGTGATTCACCTATAAGGACAAAGGGTTTTCAGTTAATGGGAGCGAGAGGGAGGGAGCATAGGAACAGTGCGTAAGTAGCAATTAATTACTGGCCTTGTTGTAGTCTGCCAGGAGCAGGGAAAGACACAATGAATGGCAACTGCGATGCCTGCCTATTTATAGCTTAGGCGGGCAGATTCCTAAAACATTGACTAGTCACAGAATCGCAAATTTGGGATGTCGCCCAAAAGTATATAATTACTTAAGTGAGGTTCTAACGCAGACTGGCAGTCTCATTAATTTTGATATAGTTCCTTCACGTTAGGAGAGGCACAGCCATTTGCCAAAATAACGTTCGTCAGAAAATAAATACAAATAAATACAACCTACTGCCATTTATTACAGTTGTCCTAACATAAAAGGCTCTCACAGAGTCGCTACTTGTGCGAAGAAGAGTATTTTCAGTTTAAATTTTATTTCTGCAACCACCTTTTAGGCGTTAGCGCCATTTCATGTGGCTTAGTAACATTATCTTTGATTATACAGATCCTGAAGTAGGTATTTAGATCATAATTTTCAATTACGAAAACAAAGACTTCAATTTTAGGTCCCACGTTAGTCATTGTTTTCATCAATAACTGTGTCGAGGACCTAGACTGCAATGTCACCCTGTTCGCCGACGACATAAAATTGTGGAAAATTGTCCAAAATACAGCAGCTAAAAACCAGCTGCAAACTAACTTGAACAGGTTGGAGGAATGGTCAAAGCTTTTGGCTAATGCCCCTCGAATGTTAGTAAATGCAACTTTCTTCAAATCGCTCGTTGTAGCGTATCCAATCTGAAGGTGTATTCCTTAAACGGTGTGGTGGACAGCCATAATGCCTATCTCCCCTTCCTTGTCCAAGGCTGGCTGCCCCAAAGTCGTGTCGTCACAAAAAATGTTTACAATGCTTTCTTTCACTGGCGGCCCCGTCCTCCGAGTCTTGATCTCACAGCTGTTTTTGGCTAACCGATAACAGCTGCGTCAACGCCCCCTGTTCTTCGGCGTGCCGGTGGACCCGACAGTTGACCCCAGCTTATTCAGCCATACATTCACGTGCGCACACACCCGCGTATCCACGTGCGTCCAAATAAGCACGCCTGTCTAAGTGCCACTTGACTAAGACACCTCTCGGCTGATGCAGCAGACAACTTGCAACACACCAATAGCAAACCACTTGAACTCGCTTCATAGTCATGTAAAAGCAACTGTCATCACCCCACACT